CCGATAAAAGAATTAAAATCAGTTATGTGGTATGCTATTTAAATATTACAAACCTAACCTTGACTTGCCTCTTTGAAAGGGACTCTTCCTTACCTACCAATCCATTCTGCAACAGTGTTATTGTATCTTTTCACCTTGTTATTAGATTATCATCTTCCCAGCATTTTTATAGGCATGTGATCAAAGGAACATAAGGGTAAAGTTGCTCTGACTGCTTGTGTAAAACAATAAGTGGAACAATTCAAGGAAAGCAGCAGAGGCTTACAACTGAATACACAAATGAGAATTGAGTATACCATGGGGTCTAATTCACTTGGAGAAAGGCACTTTGATATGATCTGAAATTACAGCTGGAAAACATAAACAGCAATGCTAAAATCTGCAAAGCATTGTCAAAGCAGTTTTTCATGGGTTTCTACACTGGTCAAGCCCCAAGAGTGTGTAATGCCATTGTGTTTGTAATTCTAACATGAGTCACATAGCCATCAAGGCCCCGGCTCTCTCAAGACTGAGTTTGCAGTATAATTTGCCTTGTTGCTTTGATGATGCTGAGCTGGAGTAATGAATGGAATTGAGTAGTAAATTTTGGGCCACAAAGAGACATTTATCAGAGGCAAATTTTGCAATATATCTATAAATCTTGGTGTTCTGTTTTGAGAGTACACTGTGCATTAAATTCCATTTTATCTCTCTCTGGCAAAAGCTTCCTAGTCTACTTTGGTCATATCATTTAAAAATGCTATTTATTTAATTTCAGAAAATTCAATTAGCTTCATCAGATATAAGCATCTTTTCCCAAGAGTATAGAAATGACATGCAAGGATAAGTTACCTTAGAAGCAACTATACAGCTGTACAGGCATTTCCAGAAGGGGGAGTTTCATCATTGCTGCTCTGCTGGCTTTGGAGGTTGGAATAGACTCTGCTACACCATTGGCCCTCTCTTGCCTTCCCTAACTTCTTGTTGGTCTTTGTTGAGTTCACATTCATTATTAAATCTTAAGGGGAAGAAAGTTTGCATAGAACTTGAGGGCGGGGGAAAGAATTGAAGCTAAGGTGACCTGGTTCCTCAGATAAAGTACTGAATTTTTTTTTCATCAACTTATAAAAATTTAAGGCCATTAAAAATGAATTAAATAACTTGGGATATCCACCTACTTTTATAAAGGCTTTAATATAGATTTAATTATATTAAGTAAAGTATATTAAAAACATTGTAAAGTGTTTTATATATACAGTAGAGCTATTTTTTAACCAGGATATTTATCTGGTTTTATCTCTATGCATTATAGTTAATACCATCTTGCAAATCACTTGTGCAACTTTTCAATATATGTATTTCCTCTTTCTACACAATTGTATATCAGTACAACTTCTGTAATACAAGGGGCAGTAGAGGTGTGCAAAACATTTTGAATTGGAACCATTTCAAATTTTAAACAACCAATTTCTAGTTTAAAATGCCCCTTTTGTATGCAAAACAACTGTTTTATTCATTCTGGCAGTGCTTTATGCTTAGCAACACCTCAACTGAAACAGTACCAAAAATAGTCAAAAGTAGCCCATTTCAAGCTTGAAACAGGGTTTTTCAGATTCAAAGCAGTGTGTTTTGAACTTGAGAAAGTTAAAATCTGAAACATTTTGCACACATAAGACAGTATATGTAATTGTGAAACATTCTCTGTATACTTATATAGAGAATACTTATCACTTTTGCAGATGTCAGAAAAATCGGGTAAGGTAATTAATATTCTAAAGACTGAAAGAACCTTAAAAGGAAACATCAGCCAGGCTAAAATAGCTAGACAAAATAATTTCTTTACTTAGGAAAAAGAAATAAAATGCATATGTGTAAAACAAAGGGAAATGTTCTTAGAACGGTAATTGAACATAAACTGAATATTGACTTATCAGTATTTTATGACTGCCACAAAAAACAAGTGCAGTTGTAGGTTGTACCAAATGAAACGCAATTGCCTAACCATCTGAATAGTTTTACTTTATCCTGGCTTGATTAGGACCTCCCCCCAACCCAAGTACTATGTCCTGCTCTATGCTACCACATGTTAAACAGAGTTTATTAAAAATGAAATGGACAGAAGGATTGGAAGCTAAGTCATATGAAAACAGTTTGAAGGAGGCAGGTGAACTCTTGAACTCTAACTATATGAAATGAAATCAGTCAGAAGATGCCGAAGACTTGCTCTCCAGATGAGCTGTTCAGAGCATCCATTGTTTGTTTGGGATGATGCTTCTGTCACTCATTTGATAGGCTGGGCTTTAATTGAGAGGACGCTCCTCCTCCTCCACGGGACTCCTCCCTAGTGTCCCCAGTTTTTGCTCAGCCTTCGTGGATATAGGCAGCTTAATTTCTTTTCCCTTGGCCAGAATAGCAAAGGCTTCAAAAGGAGTCAACAAAAAGGTTTGCTTTTAAACTCTAAACAACTCCTTTAAGGCTTTTAGTTTCAATGGGTCAAGCAGCTCCCTATGATATATAACTCGAGCCAAGGGAGCTCACCATAGCTTCAGATAATGATCTCTCGCCCCCAGGATGATAGGAGGTGATAACACCTCAGCTGCATGGCTAACAACTCACATTACGATCTTTTCAAGCTGAGCCACTATGATCGCTGTCGCTGCTATGATCGCTGCCGCCCATGCCCAATAGGAGAGGCTCCATTTTAAAAGGGTCCAAGGCTTTTTTCTCTCCCCTGAGAACACCGTCTGGGGTGGGGACATCAGCGCCCATCTGCCCCACTCCACCTTTTTATTCAAGGGGAAAGTCTGGAGTATCGACTCCCCACAAGGTGTGAAAGTGCTGCTGAGCCGATTTAGCTCATTACGCGCCTAAAGAGATAACGGCTGGTGCCATTGCAGACTCACTAACCATGCGGTAGTGATCTGCATTTTATTTCTGGAACTGTGAGAGGCTTTTCTTTCCCCAAGCAGGGGTCTCCTTCCTGGAACTCGAGAGAAATCACCCTAATACATATGTGTGTGTGTGTATGTAGATAGATAGATAGATAGATAGATAGATAGATAGATAGATAGATAGATAGATAGATAGAAATTCAGATATAATTATTCTGTTTTGGACCTTATTAAGGAGGAAACTGTTGGCTTATTCCCTCACAGAATTAAACAGCAGCACCACAGCGAGCACCAAGGCCCGTGTCCGCCTGTGCAGGAAGCTGTCGCAGGCCTACATCTTATTTCAACAATTCCTCCTTTCTAGGCCTATGAGGTGTTCCTAATTTGGCTAATTCGGAAATAATAATATTAATAACAAAATAATAATAACGATAATAATAATAGGAACAAGAATAAGAATTCAGTATTCTTACATAAGATTATACAAAACTGGGGAGCATTGTTTTAGGGTTCCCTGGCCATTGCTGGTTCAGGCCCCTGGGCGTGCCAACCACCCAACATTTCAGCCTCACTAACAGTAAAATTTAATAAGCGGTCACAATGGCAAGCAGCAGTAGCTCAAGAGCCATGTCAAATTCTCAAAACAAATTGAAGCATTCTAAGTGTATCTCCTAAGCAGCAGAAAAAGACGCTAACAAGCACCATAAGGTACTAGAAAAACACATGAAGAAGTTCATGTGGGAGGATGAAGAAAATTCTTAAACCTCATCTCCTCCAGGCCTACTTTGGCTCCAGTCCCCCTCTGCAACCAACCCTGAATCTGTCTGTGTAATCCAGATGCAGCGCAGCTGCAAAAGATCAGGTAGCCCATCTAGATCAGTACAAGTGACTTGAAGTGACTCTGGCCACATTGCTCCAACAGCGGCCAGATTCTGTCAAGATGATGACTTACTAGAAAAGATCCCCACAAAGATGAGACTGTGGATGGAATTAGCAATACGCCAAAGTATCTCTGTGGAGGTGCAGCATACTGCTCTGAACAACAGAGCGCTCCTTCTGACTGGAATTCCCTATAACTCCAGTCACTAAGCAGGACAGAGCATCCTTACCCTCAGGTATCTCTCCACAGGAGATTCTGTAGTTTCAGATATACTCCCACAAGGTATATAGAAGAAGCAAGGGCTATTGATCGGGAGGAGCCAGAGGACTCTGAGTTCTGCTCAAATTCTCAAATTCTAGTTAGATTTGCATCAGCTCACATTAAAAGGTGATGGTTGATGCTACATCTTGACGACTAAAACAACGCCGACATCATTTTGTTTATAAGAATTCCATGGCATTATCTGTTGAGAAGCCACTTCCCCTCACAAGGATCTTCGTGAGGGTCCAGGGGACATTTATGCCGATTACGGACCTCTTTCTGAGGTTGACTATTGGGCTTCCTTTTTCAGTTGGCAGCCCTCACAGAATTCTAGCAGCACAGTAACAGCGAGCACCAAGGCCTGTGTCCGTCTGGGCAGGAAGCTGTTGAGCGCCAGTGACTGCAGGATCACCCAATTGCAATACAGGTCCTGAAAGGTGTTCTCTATTTGGCCTCACAATTTGATTCCATATTCAGTCATCTAATTATGAGTTTGGTAACAGCACAACAATTTATGTTAGTAGCTGTGCATAGATATAACAAAAATATTATCAATAATAATATTAATGATATCAATATTATTATGACATAACAAATTATAACATAACAAATTGAATTTACCAAAAAAGTGGGGGGGGGAGCAAATATCAAGAGGATTCCCTATATCAGTCCTCTGAACCAGTCAACACTCCATTAATATCTCATACACATATAGATACATAGATATAGATATCTCACCTTGTGGGCTTTAGGTCAGAATCTTCAATGGCAACCAAAAATACCCCCAGAGGACAATAAACCAACTCACAGTAGGTAAAAACGTCCTAGAGAGACCTCTAAGGCAACAAAGGATGCCAAGAGACACCAAAATGCGTTAGATGAGCATATGTTAAATTTTTTTAAAAAATGCATGAGGGAGGTTGAACAGAAGTCTCAGTCCTCTTCCCCAGCCAGGCTGGTCCCAGTTCCAGAGTGCTCACTTCAGCAGCACACATACCAATTTTGTATCATTCCAATTTTGGAATGATACAAAGAAGATTAGCATGGCCCCTGCGCAAGGATGACACGCAATTTGTGAAGTGTTCCATATTTCACCTTACCTCCATCCCTGGATCTCTCAACGCCATCCAGGAGAGCCTCAAAGAGACCGGTTCAACCCAGGCCTTCAGCAGTGCTACTTGCCTGACAGACAGTTGTGGGACCACACCGGAATTCCTTCTCCCAGAGGATATCCCTGACAAATTGAAGGCCTGGAGGGACATGGCAACTTGAAGATGCATCGCAGCTGGGGCACAGTAGAAGTTGATGGCTAGGCAGCCTCCACAATCTGACCTCGATTCTCACTCGATTTAGTTACTATGCAGAATAGACCTTCATTACCAGCAGGTACCTCCTTCAGGGGAGTATTATATAATCCAGTTACACATTCACATGATGCACAGGGTGAGGGAGAACTAGAGACCAGATGGAACAAGTTGAGGAACGGTCACAACAGTGACCAAAATCTGTCAGTGGCAGATCCCCTAAAAAAAGGGGGGCATGTCAAACATTGAAGGCATTAAGCCAGACCACCGACCTTCAGGTCTGTTTTGCCCTCAGACTTTTTTCAAGTCTCTGTTGTTTCAAAAAAAAAAAAAAACTACTTCCTGCCTTGATATTCCATTTCCCCTTGGCCCAACAATCGTTACTATAAGGGGGGGGGGGGTGTCAGATGATTTAATCTTCTCCCAACCAATAATATAAGAGGAAGTCATAACTGTCCCAGAGAGGTTCTTGGACCTCGTCCAGAAACAAGGGGTCTCTTCAGTGGCGTATACCCCTCTTCCAGGATATGATAGCAAATTTTTAATTTGGTTTTCTCATTCTGCTAAATTTCTCATCACCACGATAGTAGATAAAACAATAATGGCAATTGTCAACCTCCTCTGCAATTCCAAATGAAGCAGAAGAGGCTGTCAAGTCAAAGGATATACAGGGTCAAGTTGTCCCCATGTAGGGCATGTTGATCTGATGTGAGGGCCATAAGAGCGGAGTCGGCCTCATCCCCCCTTTTTTTACTAGATTGTCTCTCAGATTGCTCCTCCATCTGAGGGAGTTTATCTCAAATTCCAATATCAGGGCACACAAGGATGCTGCAAAACTCTATTAAATTATCTGCTCAAGCCAGGACATCTCAGGTTACTCCTCGCCTACTGCTATGGCTCAGACATTGGCAAGCAGATATCACACAACTAATGGAAACTTGCTTCCTCCCCAATATAGGGAGATAATTTGGTTGGTGGTGCCCCGACCTATCTCTGATAGAGACTACCAGCAGAAAATAAGTTCCTCTCTTTCCATAGACCCCAAAATAGTCCTTTCCAGCTTTTTGGAGGGTTCCTTCGTTCCCTCTACCAGGGACTTTTTCTCTCCAGACTCCAGGGACCATCTGGACGCATGAATCACCAACAGTCAGATAGTTTCCGATCTGGAGATAGATACTGAAGGGGCGGGCAGAGCAAAAGAATCTCTTGAGGAATATGAAATAGAAGTCTCCGAGGCACAACATAGGCCTCACGACTGTGCCCCTATTGGTGGAAGGCTCAAGCCTTTCACGGACAGATGGGATGCCTCTACCTCTGTTTCCTGGGTTAGAGGTATCAGATTAGGCCTGGCTATAGAATTTCCATCCTCTCCCCGGAACCTTTGCATTACTTGCTTTTTCTCTGGGGATCCTGTTAAAGGGAGCATGATGGAGACAGCTATTGTTCATTTATTGGAGATCCAGGCAACCAACCTGTGGCACCAGATCAGCAGGGGCAATTTTAGTTTTAAAATGACTTAATTGATCCATAGTTCATAGGAGGCTTAAGATGAGTATACTGAACTCCATACTTCTGAGCTTCACAAGGGGCGATTTTCTACCCTCCATTGACTTAATGGAGGCCCATCCCCACATTCCAATTAGATCCTCACATAGCAAAACTCTTAGTTTTTGTTATAATACTCAACCTTTTGAATACATTGCACTGTCCTTTGGGTTGTCATCTGCCCAAGGTTCTTACGAAGGTTCTGATGGCTCTGGCTGTTCATCTCAGGGGAACACCTGTTAGATGGCAGTGTTATTTATATGACATTTCATTATTATCTTGTTCATATAAACAGGCAAAGGGGAGGCCTTAGCATCGGTCATCACTAGGAGAGACTTGCAGTCCATCTCTCATCACCCACGCATATGCCATTTTCTTGCACAGGGCTACAATCTTACAGCCCCCTGTAGTGCATTGATATCACACGTGGGACCTCAACAAGGTCCTTACCGCGCTCAAGAAAACTCCCTTTGAGCCCATGTAGACCATGCATCTCCATTCCTAACGTACAAGGTGGTTCTCTTGGTTGCCATTACATCGGCCAGTTACATCTTGGATCTAGTAGTCTTGTCAGTTAGACAGGAGCTCTATATTTTTCACACAGAAGTGGTCCTTAGTCCAGATCCATCTTTCACCCATAGATAATTTTGGGTTTCCACAGACCACAGGAACTGATACTCCCGTACATTTGTCTGAAACCGGCATAAAATCTGGCACGACAATGCCACAATCTAGATGTAAGGCGAGCTTTCTGCATATATTTCAACTGCATGATGTGTGTTAGGAAACAAAGGTTCTCTTTGTTTCTTTTCAACCACCCACCATTGGGTGTAAGACCCCTTCCTCAATGACCAGTAAGTGGCTGAGAGCACAATTCCCAAGTCCTATGAGACACAATCTCTTCCTGTACCCAGGGGCACCACTGCTCATTCGACCTGGAGCGCTGTGATGTTGACAACATGGGCCACAAGTGCCAATAAAAAAAATTTACAAGGTGACAACATGGGCCTCACCATCGCCTTTTATTTAGAAACTATTAGAATGATGTCTTCGCCTCTACAGAGGCTGCCTTTGACAGGAAAGTGTTACAAAGGGTCCATAGGGACCAAGAAAAGGGGAATCTGAACCAGACGGAAGCCCTCCCGTAGGACACGCCAAGCTTTGGTATATCCCAAACAATGGATGCTCTGAACAGCTCATCTGGAGAAAGGGTGTTGGTACTTACCTGACAGGCCCTTTTTCTGTGAGTTGTGAAGAGCGTCCATCCCCACCCTTATTTGTCTGGTGGGATGCTATTCCGGCCAAGTATTAGAAAGGGTGAAGGAGAAGAAATATTTCAACACTTCGACTTCGCCAAAACTGGGGACGCTAGGGAGGAGTCCCGTGGAGGAGGAGGAGCGTCCTCTCAATTAAAGCCCAGCCTATCAAACGAGCGACAGAAGCATCATCCCCTCAAACAATGGATGCTCTTCACAGCTCACAGAGAAAGGGTGTGTCAGGTAAGTACCAACGCCCCTTCTCAGTCTACCAAGAGATAATGAAATACTCTTCACTCAAACAAGTGGGAATCTCTCTCTCCCTCTCTTTCTCTCTCTCTCTCTCATTATCTATTTCTATTCATCTGTCCATCTATCTTATATAATGATTTTGGCAGCATACATAATAAAATAAAATACATAAACACCATTAAAACCACAATTTAAAAAGAAAAATAAAGTAAACTAAATGGCAGCTAGCATGCAGAAAATGTACCAAAAATAATAATCAACCTATAGGCTCCATTCTACTATGGGGTCACCCAGATCATTGACAAAATCAAGTTTTGATGGCCTTCTGGAAGGCCAACAGCTGCGAGCCTTACCCTACGAGGGGGTGGGATGGATAGGAAGGGGCAGAGATGTTCCACAGTGCTAGGACTACACTAGAAAAAGTTTTTCTCCTAGGAAATAAAAGAAATAAAAAAATAAAATTCGGGAGGTGATAGGATCCACAACTTGGCTATTCTCTCAGACGTGGTATGATGGGGAGTTGTTACTGGGAAGAGGCAGCCCCTCAAATGACTTAATCTCATGGCGCACATGGCTTTAAAGATAAAAACCAGGGTATTTAATTGAACCTAGAAGCAAAATATCAACCAGTGCAGCTCACAAAGCAAAAGTATAACATATACGCATACATAATTGTCCACATTGTCACATTTTATAGGAGCTGAATCTTCTGGATGCTCTTCAAGGGCAGCTGTGTGTAGATCCTGTTACAGTAGTCTGTCCATGAAGTGACTGTGAATAGAAGCACCCAGTCAAAAAATTAGGTGCAATTGGCAGACAACATGAAGCTGTGCAAAGGCCCTTCTCACCATGACTTCTATCTGCTCTTTGATCAGGAGTTGTCCAAAAGAAGTTCCAAATTGCACACTGGGTCTGCTTGAGGTAGTGCAATTACATCCAAGACCAGACATGGTAAATCCCCATATAGAGAAGGCCCCTAAAGTCTTACTAAGGAATATTTGAAACCTGTTGCTCCCCATCCAGACTCCCATAATCTCCAGGTACTTAGAAAGGATATCAGCAACATCACTTAACTCACCAGGGGCAGAGTTACACAACTGGAAATCATTAGCATAGTGATGGTATCTCACTCTACAGTAACAGATGATCTCACCCAGAAGCTTCATGTAGATATTAAACATGAGTGGAGAAAGTTATCCACTGATGGTGCCTTCACTTAGATTACTGTAATGAGGATCTAAATGGTCTTTTCCAACTCTTGAATTTTGTTATTCTCTGTTTCCTGTTACATTTTAATGGGGGCTATGCTACTCCTTAATGCGCAAAGGAAAGATGTTTTGAGTAAGTTCTGGCAACAGAATATATCATGGGTTTGTTGATTACAACCAAGGTATCAATTAACCAAGTTTGTATGAGCCAATATTTCTGCATCCAAGTTATAGCAAGCCCAAATTGTACTTACAAGACTCTGACAAGCCTGAAAACACAATGCTAATTTTACCCTTGCCTTCCTTGTCAAAACATTATATATCAATTTGGGATGTGTGTGTGTGTTGCCTATTCTTTCTATTGAACTCATTAGTCTAAAATATGATTGGGTTCTGTTAAATAATTGGGATTATATTTAATCCATTAATGTTCTTCCTTTGAATGAAAAATGTAAAAACATCTGATTGTTTCAAATTGTGAACTCTGTGGGTTCTCCTCCACATCAGGGTCTGAGCAATTGCTCTTATT